CTATCATTATTTTTATCGGTTACTAGTAGGCACTTTCTATAAGAAAGAGCTTTCTCTTGTCAAGAGGAGATGAATTACAGTTTACTTCCAAAAGGGTTACATTAAATGCTTAATTCTTTCCTTCAATTACCAATTTTCAGAGTAAAGATCTAATCTAGCAGTTGCCTTCAGTGAAAGTGGGGTTTTCCCCCCTTTTTTTCTATGTTGTTGAGTGTCATTATGGGTTCAAATTTTAATTTAGTGTATTAAATGAACCCTAGTAATTATTCTTGTTGATACTCGAATTCTCTCAAATTGACTAGTGTCTTTTTTACACAATCTCATTAGTCTTTCAGTATTTCCTTATTTTCAAGCATAAAATATTTGTGGCTCATCTTGCTCTTTTCCTGCTACAGACTGAAAGCTTCTCTACTTCAGTCCTGGTTTCAGTTTATCTGCTTATTGCTCTGTACTTCAGCCTTCTCTTCCTTTCTGGGCTCTGGGCATTTCCTCTTGGTTTTTGTTCTTGCTGCTGTTTTTTTTCAAGCTCAGGTACCCATTTTTTCAATGCCAAATATTTATTCAGTGCCAACTATGGGCTAGGTGCCATACTGGGGATGCAGAAGTGAACAAAAATTCTCTGAGTCAAGGCGCTTACATCGCAAGAACACTTGTAATATCAGCTCTGCATTTCAGAGTACATTTTGTGCTTCCAATTTTAGGTACTGAAGATGTTTAAAATAATCTAGCCTGCTATATTACTGTTAAAGGGGATGGATGATAATTTGTAAAATTTTACATCAGTTTGCAGAATGAATATTGGGAAGAACACAGAAAATAGGAAGTCCAGTTAGTAAAGAATTACAGTACTCCAGGTATGAAGTGGTTAGACTACTGGCAGAAGTGAAAATGGAGAAGAAAAGCTGGATTTCAAGAATATCTTGAAGGAAGAGAAGATAATATTTTGTAACAGTTTAATAAGAGGGCATGACACAGAGGAAGGAGTCAAAATTAGCTCCAAATTTTCTTCCCTGATATATGGAAATAATGGCTATAACACTGACAGAAATAGTGCAGCTGGTGCAAATGGATGGGCAGATAAAAATAATAGCTTTTGGACTTTAACTCTATATTTAATATTGCATGCAGTGTATTAGCATGGTGTTTTATAATCTATAGTTGCATCAACTTACTGCATTTGAAAAAAGCAGCAGAACTATGTTCGTATGTCTCAAGGTAACTGAAAATATAGAACTAGAAGACAGTATAAGTAACAGGATTATAGGTTAGGAGTGGGAGTGGAGGTGCTTTCTTTGTATCTCTAGAATCTGGTTTGTGTTTGGCACACAGCCAGTCCTCAATTAACATTTACTGAATAAATGAATCTAGGTCATTTGCATACATGGGATAGCTGAGCCCAAGGGAATAGGGAATAGATCTTAAAGCAAAGGACATTTACTTGCTATGATTAAAAAACAGCCCTTCTATGCCCTGCATTGCAAACGATTGCTCGCAATTGTTTTTGGAAGAAACAATTCCAATGTACCTTGAGTTAGGAATAATTAGTAAAGGAACTGGAATTTCAGGAGCTGTTTTTTGGGGATGGGGTGGGAGTGCATTCTAGATTTAGCATATCAAAGTTAAAGTGACAGATTTGCCATTTTCAAAGTTGATATTAATTATATCCATTTTATACAAAGGTCAGACTATCTCCACAAGTTAGCGAGCTTCTCACTGCAATCAGTGCAATATCTTCTCCACAGTGCTCCAAAATAGAAACATCGCTTTATAGGTTATTAGCCAAAGACTTGACTGCTCTTAGCATTCGCTAACTAAAAGGTTAAACGGATTCTCCCCCCTCCTTTCAAGCTCGGGATCTGATATTTCAATTCTGCAGACTTGAGCACCCCTTTCTCATCCTCAAGAGGGCGGTGACTAGGGAGCCACTCCTTAACCACAGACCCTCAAAGCAGCACCAAAATCTCCCCGCCCGCCTCCTGGGTGCGTCAGATTAGTCTCAGGGGCCGGCGCCTCAGACTGAGTCTGCGCATACTGCTAGTGAGCAGGAAGCGCATGCGCCTTGGTGCAGGCCCGGCAGAGGCCACTCTGGGCGGGTCTGGGCAGCTCCGGTGTTTTGGGGCCCAAGAGTGGGAGGAGCCGGAGGCCTCACCGTGGTAACCACAGCGCCGCTGCCGCCCCGCCTTGCAGGCCTTAGGACTGTCATCGCCTCTGGGTGTGAGGGTACTTTGGCCACTGTCCCCGGAAATAGCCCCGCCGGCCTCTCTCAGATACCCCATCCTCCCCACGCCGCCGTCGCCGCCGCCATGCAAGGGGAGGACGCCAGATACCTCAAAAGGTGACGACTCCCCTAGGCTCTGTTCTACCCTCTTTGCTGGGGCCCATAAGATGTTCTTGGGTTGGCTGTGAGATGCCACTAGGCTAAGCTAGTTTAGAAGAGGGGTTGGGAGGCAGGGACAGAAGACATGGAAAGGGAAGGAGAAAGATGAATCTAGAAAAAGAAAGAGAGAGCCCTGCAGGGTTTGAGGTCCTCGAGCCTCTTGCATGATTTGGCGGGACCCTGACAGCTTTGAGAGGTGGTTTCCTTGATACATTATATTATTCCAGGGGGAGAGGGAAGTATGGCAAGGTAAACTGCGTCTTCCTTTTTTTTTTTTTTTCTTTTCCTCCTCGCAGACTCTCCATTTTCCCATAATAGATAAATCCGTGGGAGCCTGGGAAAGAAGTCTTCCGGTGCTTCCGCTTTCTGTCCCCAGGTTGGGGTTCACTGCCTTGGGGTTTTGAAATGAAGGGGAAAGAAATGGTGGCTTCTATTTTGTGGAAGGCTGGATTGAGCTGTTTTCCAGCCTATTTCTACTTTCCTCATCCATTCCATCCATTTGACTGTCACATATACTGTATAATTTTTGTTAGGAGATTCATAATTACCAAGAGGTTTGTTCAGGAGCTTGATGTAAAACAGGCCATAATTTCTTTTAAATATGTGTAGTATCAATTACTCTTTTTAAAAAATTGTAATCTTTTTGGAGAATTTGAATTCTGGCAAAGATCAGATCACTCCTGATCAAAAAAAGATACTCTCACTAGACTAAGAGTTAGCAGTGATCCAATAGAAAAACATCTTAATTTGGACTTTCCATTTTAAATTAAGTGCCTGTTACTGATTCAGTAAATACCCTGGAAAATTT